ATCAAATGTCTACAAAGACTGCATTCCAACTGTATACTCTAGAAGCTCTTCCCTGAATCTCCTTTAGGAAACTATCATTTTAACCATCATTTTTAAAAGGTTATAGAATCACCTGGGGGAAGAGTGGAGAAGGAGTAGAGGAAGGGTGACTGAAGATTTCTTAAGGCCTAGTTCTACAACCAAAGCATCAGAGGTGCAAAGTAGCCTTTGATGTTTCTGGTGACCTTCTGCTTCTGACACACTTTGAGGAGGAAGACTGTACCTTCAACCAGAATGGAAGCCGGTGTTCTTCCCTTTCCACAGGTGGCTTCCACTGATGTGGCTGGATCTCTTCACAGCACTTCATTAACATGGGCAGCTGTTTGGTCTTCTTATAAAACTGAGCATGAAGAAATAAAGCATGGGTTACATTCATTCCAGAAACACTGCCCTCTGTCCGGGTGGGGAGCAAGGTAGGCAGTGGTTTAAGACACACACACACACACTCATCCATAAAACAGATACATGAACAGCATGTGCTGAATGCTTCTGCATTTCAAATTAACTACTCCCTAATTAATAAAGATTTTACAATTGCTCAGTATCTTCTGATGCTCTCCATTCTGGTCAGCAGGAATGGAAAAATTTTAAGTCACAGAGAAAACAATGCAAATGGTCATTTAAAATTTGCTTGTGCTCAACAGATGCAATGAAAGTGATTAACCTTCATCCTGGCCACATGGAAACTTCCTTTTAAGCAAATATGGCGTGAAGGGCATTAAAAGGGAAGGGAAAGAAGAACAGAGAGACTGAGGCAGTTCAGTTTTAAGCGTAAACAAAGAGGGAAATTGAACTTACACTGACAGTATGCACCCAATTATTCAACATTTGTTGAATGTCTACTTGCCAGGCACCATGCTACAAGCTGAGCATACAACTAAAGAAGCAATTCCTGCTCTCAAAGACCATACAGACTAATGGGAGAGACAGCCAAGTAGACCAATAATAACATTTTGTATCAAAAAGTATAAAGACGTGCACAAAAAAGTGACACACAACTCACAGCTGAACAATAAAGATTTCTCTGGAGCAGGCGCAACTATAGACGAATCTTAACGGAACACTTTGCTATATGAGGCA